CCCATGCCATCTTGTTGGCTCTTGCGAATCGACGCTGGCCAACGCTAATCGACGCAAGTTCAACGCTAAATCAGCGCTGCTCGACGCAACATTGGCGCTATCTCATCGATTACCAAATGCTAATCGACGCTAGCGCACTTTTAAAACGGAACCGCGACGGTTTACAAGACTCCCATGATCTGCTACCGAACAGGATGGGGGAAGACAAGTGAGGCATGGCACGACGGTGCACATCAGAGCGCAAACGACGCACGAACATTGGCATGGTCCACTTATCTATGATCGAGTTCATGTGGAAGCCGTCTGGATACTGATGACCTTTCGCATTCCTGCTGTGGTCCTCGCAATCCATCCCCACGAGACCAGAGGCCAGCGAGACGATACAGGTTGCAAACTCCGATCGGATGAAATGCACAGCAGGAGCATGAGACCTGGGACCAAGGCTAGATGCGCATTCTGGGGACCTTCCTGGAGACACTCGCTCCACTTGTGCGACGAAGCTGCGTCGAAAGTCCGTCGATTGGAGCCGACCTTGAGTCGAGCCTGAGTCGAAACAGAGTCGGACTTGAGTCGAACTTGAATCGAACTTGACTCGAAATTGAATCGAACTGGGGTCGCGCTGGAGTCGAACAGATCCGTGAGGTGGGCCCCAAGACGAAGAGCCGCTTGAGAACACGGTTGCAGGGCACGCGGGCCGGTGCGGCAGAGCCGTGGGCACCGGCTGGACCACGTGCGGCTGGGCTGCCCGTGGGACCCGCACCACCTCGTGCACGGCAGCCCTGGAAGCGGAGACACGCGCCCGCTGTTCAGCGAGTGATGAGGGAAGAATCCTCCCCAGCTTTCGGTCGGGCATGTCCTCCTGCATGCGGATTTTTATTTAATACAACCGCGTGAAACCAGATTCAAAAATCCGCCGGCCCCCATGCGGGGCCACCAGGCTGCAGGCCGGGAATGCGCTGCTCCCTGTGCCGGTTGCAGCTTCCAGTTTCCACTGTTGCAGTTCTGCTTCTTGCTGCTTACTGTTCCTTGTTGATGAACGCGCGAGGGGGAGTGAGCCCAAACCAACAAAACTACCACGCCCTGGGAGGGTTCTCAGAATTTCTGGGGGGGTAAAAATTTACACCCCTCACGCAGATCCGCAGGGTCAAGGTCCAAAAACGGATGGAATTTGCCACATTGTTGAACTTCGGTGGCACCCCTCACGCAGATCGGCGGGGTCAGGGTCCAAAAACACATGGAATTTGCTACATTTCTGAAATTCGTTGGCACCCCTCACGCAGCTCGTCGGGGTCAGAGTCTAAAAACACATGGGATTTGCCACATTTTTTCAATTCGGCATCACCCTTCACGCAGATCGGCGGGGTCAGGGTCCAAAAACAGATGGAATTTGCGACATTCCTGAAATTCGGTGGCACCCCTCACGCAGATCGGCGGGGTCAGGGTCGAAAAACAAACAGGTCCCGACACTGCTTCACGGAGGCGCCCAGACCTCATGATTTAGCTTTTGCATCTCCCATTTTCCGAAACAGGGGGCCGGCGGCATGGGGCGAAGCCCTTGCGGATATATGTTGAAAATTGTAAAAGAATCGTCTCCAGACGATTGTTTGTTAACTATTTTTGAATATTCCTCCTGTGGAAGGACAAGCCCGACTTGACCCTAGCTCAGAAACCGATCAGCGTGCTCCTCCAGCTGGTTTTCCCCCCCGTCGTTCCTTCCTTGTTGGTGTGCACCCCCCGCTCTGTCACCTGGCCGGCCGATGCCCGCCACATCTGGTACCAGTACCTGCTCATCCGATACCCGCCACACAATACAAACGTGCACAGCTTTGCTCTCAACATACGGTGACGGTATTGGATCAAAAACCCTGCGATAAGGAAACCAAGGTCTGGAAGCCGGTGGAACTCCAATCGTGGACCAGCCATGGATATCATCGCCGCCCTCATCAGATGAGGAAGACTCCAGGGTCGAAAGCCTCCTGGGCACAGTCCTTAACCAACGCCCCCACCGTAACCATTATGTCTCCCATGTTGCACGTGCGTGGCAGGAAACGGCTGGGGCGCAAGGACATACTAGCACTATATGTCCTTCTTGGAGGCGCGCGTCCGACCCGAACATCTAGTAGTATACCCAGGAGTATATCGTTTCCCGAGCGGTGTGGCCAGAAATCGCCCGCCACGACGCATGTACTATAAGATTTCTCGGCGCGCGCGTCGCCCCTGGGGGGGCGGCGCACATATAGTATCAGTATGCTGGGGTGACGCGGACATAGCCAGTATGTCGCCCACGTTGCAAGTGCGTGGCAGGAAACGGACGGGGCGCACACCTCGCGTGGAGGAAAAAGGCTTGTCGGTCTCGCCTCGGCGCCGCGCTCCATTTTCCAGGGAGTGGAGCTTCCGCTGGGGCGCGGCGCACGACTTTCGCACGTCACGATGTCGACGCACGTGCGGACGAAAATATCGCTCCCGCCTGGGCGCCGCGCAGATTCCTCGTGAAAATGGCGCTCCCGCCCTAGCGCGGCGCATATTTCCCACTCGCCTTATGTTGCATCCTCGGGGGACCTTGCTTGTCCCGTCGCGGCCGCATCCGCGTCGAATCCGTGTCGAATGTGTGTCGGACTCGTCGAATCTGTGTCGAATCTGTGTCGAATCTGTGTCGAATCTGTGTCGAACCCGCGTCGGACCCACGTCAAATCTGCATCGAATCTGCATCGAGCCCGCGTCGGGCACAAGAAAAAATACGCCGATGTTTGGAACAGACGAGGTCGGTCCCCAAAATATGTGGCTGTAACTCGCCATTTTTTCGGGGCCCCGCCTGAGCGGACAACCTGCCGCCCTCGCCCAAACTTCGGGCGCGGCTAACAGACCCCTAGCACACCATCCCCTTCCGTGACGTCACCCTCGCCTTTCAAGCTCCCCCCCCGGCCGCATACATACGTCGTGGGGCGAGGCGAGGGGAACGTCACGGAAGGAGATGGTTTGCGAGGGGTTGGGCAGGTCGCCCCTGAAAGCTCCGTGCGCATTTCGCTTGGAACCGGCGTCTCCAAGCGGAAACGGCGCACGGCTCGCGTCGCCGAAACAGAGGAGCCACAGCGAGAGAGAGCGGCAACAGGGCACGCAAGAGAGGACGAACAAATGCCTATCCCCGTGGGCAGAAGAGGGGAGGAGGGAGTGGAGGAGGAGGTGGAGGAGGATGAGGAGGAGAAGGAGAGGGAGGAGGAGAGGGAGGAGGAGAAGGCGGGGGGGAGGAGGAGGAGGAGGAGGAGGAGGAGGAGGGGAGGAGGAGGAGGAGGAGGAGGAGGAGGAGGAGGAGAGGAGGAGGAGGAGGGAGGAGGAGGAGGAGGAGGAGGAGGAGGAGGAGGAGGAGGAGGAGGAGGAGGGGAGGAGGAGGAGGAGGAGGAGGAGGAGGAGGAGGAGGAGGAGGAGGAGGAGGGAGGAGGAGGAGGAAGGAGGAGGAGGAGGAGAGGAGGAGGAGGAGGAGGAGGAGGAGAAGAGGAGGAGGAGGAGGAGGAGGAGGAGGAGGAGGAGGAGGAGACGGAGGAGCAGGAGGACTGGGAGGAGGACAGGGAGGAGGCGGAGGAGGAGGACGACCAGGAGGAGGACAGAATGAGGAGGGGAGGCGTAGGAGGAGAGGGAGGAGGAGGACGGCCAGGAGGAGGACAGGAGGCGGGGAGGAGGAGTAGGAGGAAAGGGAGGAGGAGGACGGCCAGGAGAAGTACAGGAGGAGGAGGGGAGGCGCAGGAGGAGAGGAAGCGCAGCCAGATGGATTCAACGAGGACGGTCCCAGCCGGACATGTTCTCAGAACGTCTCGTGCAAGCCACAACAGGCTCTCAGAACATTCTCTGGCGGCCCTATAAGCAAGACGGACGCCTCGCCACTGCTGGAGCCAGCGGAAACGGGGCCGCGCGAGAGAGCGGACGAAACGCCGACCTCGCCCAAGCACCAGCCAGGCTGTGAGTGACCGTGGTATACCGTTCGGTCGGCGCGGCGCTCAGAGTCGTCCTCGCCGCTCTCCTCGGCAGCTGCGCCGCTCGCGCCCCTGCGCGGCCCGCGTCGTTCTTGTCACGTCGCCCGGTCGTCGGCAGCGGCGCCGCGAGCGAGCGCCTTCCGTTCGTTGGGTGGGAGCGCGCTCCGATCCCAATGCCGGGGCTGCGCCAGAACTGACTCTCACGCTATGGGGGGCGAGGGTGGGAATAGGCGGGGCTCTGTGCCTCGCTCGACCTGGCGAGCTGGACCCCACCCCGACTCCCTTCTTTCGGCTGCACGCAGGGGTGGCCCTGGGCAAGAGTGACCTCTGGTACGCGGCTTGAGAGGGGGGCCACGCCCAAGCGCGCAAGCCGGTGCTACCGCATCGCGTTCAGCGATCGGCAGGTCCCAATGGGCCCGCAACAGAGGTCACTCTGGCAAAGGGTCACGCTTACGCGTAGTCGATTCTTGCCCTTTCCCTCGTGCTCCTCCCCATCTCTGCTCTGAAGATACCGGGGCACATGCTTCGTCGATGATTGAGGGTCCTGAGAGGCCCCGAACCTTCTGTAGGTCCCTGGGGCCATCGGGGGAGAATCATCTTCCGTGGGTCACGCGCTGGCAGCCCGAGTTCTTGTTTGATGTGCCCGCTGTGCACCAAGTCTTGGGCCTTGGGCCCAGGATCAGCCTGGGCAGTCAGTATCGGTGCAGGTGCATGGTTGGCGGCCTCCTACACGGTGCCCTGCCTGCCTTGCCTCCCCCCTGGGAACTGCCAGCCTCCTCCCTCCAGGGCCCCGCCCTCCAAGCACACGCGCCCTCTCCTGGACAGCGGCGAGGCGCGGAGGGATGGTGGGGAAGTCGGCCCCGAGGCCCCCCCCACGCGGGGAGGAACCGCAGACGGACCAGCGCGAGCTGTGAGGCGGGGGGAGCGTGGCACGCACAGACGACTCCGAGCTGGGGCAAGCGTGCGATGTACACGGAGCGCGCCCCGTTTGTGTTCGGGCCCGTGTGCGCAAGGTGTGACGTCACGGAACACCGACTCTGCATACATGATCGATCCTGGCTCCCTTGTTCATTCGGACAGGCAGACAGTACACTTCCGTATCGAAGTTGCCGCCCATATCTCACCAGCTCGCCAGCCGCGACAACTGCAATTTCGGAAGATTGGTCAAGGCAGGAAGCAGAAGTGAGGGACGCAAGGGATCCAGCGCATCCCGGCTCAAAAACAGAATTCAAAGGGCATGCCCTTTCTCTACTAAACATCGAGCCAGTCACTGTGCTGGTGCAACGGCTGGGCCCCTGAGCCGCACGGAAGCGGTGCAAGCCCATGCCGCCAGGAGTGCGTTATAGTGGCTTGAAGACCGCATCGAGCGACAGATTACGAAATTACTGAACAGCGCATGTGGTGAGGGCACATGCTCGGTTCCAGCCGAGGAGCGTACCCCGCCGAGCCCCTTCAGGGCCAACAGCAACTATAGACTAGGGTCGCTCGTCATCCGTGGGCGGGGTGCACTTCACTGCCATCTTACTTCTTGGTGCAGCGTAGTCGCCAGCTATCAACGAGCTCCCTTTGATGAGACTCTCCAGCTGGTAGATCACCAAATTCAGGTCCAGACTCTTCGCGTGGCCCCTCAGACGCAGGCAGCCATCGAGGAACTCCTCGATCCCAACCTCCCCGTTGTCGTTGCAGTCCAGCAACTTGAACAAGATGTGCGCCTGCCGGATGTCCAGATCCAAGGTCTGGAAATACGCCTTCACACGGTCGTCGTCCAAATGCGTCCGGAACTCCTCCCACGACAGCTGGCCTGAGTTGTCTGCGTCCGCCTGGCGGAAGAACTCCTTGATGTCATTGGCATAGTCCTTGAGGGCTTTCATCTCGTCCTCAACCATGCGGTCGCGGTCCCTGGCAGCAACGCCAGACGTGACATCGACTACGGTACCGATCCGCCGACGTGCCGCTAAGCACGGGGTGGGCGTGTCCTCAAGTCCCTTGCGCACTCCCCTGAGCCTCAGCCTTCAGTCCTGAGGGTGTGCAGCAGGCGCTGGACCACAGGAAACCTCCCGCGAGAAACCCAACCCTGAGACCCCAGAACGCCCCTTGACTTCTGCTGTGGGAACGTCACGCTTTCCATGGCAAGACCATCGAAACCCGAGAATAAGGGAACGAATAATGACATAAACATAAAAACTCGAGGTCCGCGCGGATTTCTCGGATCGGCGCTGGACTCCCCTAGCGGCGCCTCCGGCGCCGCCCCTGGCGCGCTCCGCGCGCCAGGGAGGGGGCTCCAGCGCCGATACGAGAAATCCGCGCGGACCTCCGAATTTTTATGTTTATGCCATTTTTCGTTCCCCTAGAGAAACTCGGAAGCTGGGCAAGGGCCGCTCAATCCGTGGCTGCTAAAATCGACCTCCGGGAAGTCGTCTTCGTCCTTCTGGGAAGAAGCCCGTTGACTGTTTCGCGTGCCGCGCCTCCTTCCGGGAAGTCGTTTTTTTTCCTTCCGGGAGGGCCGTTTGAGCAGCCACGGAGTTATAGCAGCCCTCGCCCAGCATTCCGAGAAACCCTGCAGGGCACCCCGGAGGCAGGCAGGGCCGTTTGAGCAGCCACCGTTTTAGCAGCCACCGTTTTAGCAGCCGTTTGAGCAGCCACGGTGTCATAGCAGCCCTCGCCCAGCTTCCGAGAGACCCTGCAGGGCACCCTGGAGGCAGGCAGGGCGTCTCCTGGCAGGGGCTGCGGCTGCAACGGGGCCCCATGGGCCCCAGCCTCCGCACTCTGCCGGGGCCTGGCGCGTGCCCTCCCGTCTCCCCCGCGGCTTCCCGCTTAGGTCGGGCGTGCCACCCTACGGGCGGCTTCTTGGACGAAAAATAAAAAAAATCCCCCCCCCACCCACACACACACAAAAGCAACAAGTATTCAAAACTGATCACAAGCAGAATCACTAACAAAAACATTCGAAACATCGTCCCCAGACGATTTGTTTTGCTATGTTTGACAATTCCTCCTGCAGAGGGACGAGCACGACTTAACATCAATTCTTCGGGCCCAGGCGGGCCCCCAGACAGGCCAAGGGGGCCCCACGGAGCATCAAAAATTGCACCGTTGTACAATGTCACGCCCGGAGCCCCGGACCCAATTTTTCTGCTTTTTCAGGCCGGATCGCTCTGCGAGGGTCCCCGGGCCCGAAAGGCTGCGAAAACGCAAGGTCCGAACAAAATTTGCAACGCCAGGATCGCAGGCCAAGACGGCCCCGATACGCCCAGAGATGGGCCCAAGACGCGCAGGATGGCCCCCAGACGGCCCAAGACGCCCCAAGAGGCATCCCAAGAGGCATCCCAAGAGGGCCCCAGCAGGCCCAAACCATTGACTTCCCACACGTTTTCGAAGGTGCTTGGGTTTCTCTCCTTTTCGGCCTTCCGACGCTCCGAGACGGTCCTGGTGCCCCCAAGATCGCCCCACGACGGCCCAAGAGGCCTCCAAGAGGGCCCCAAAAAGGCCCAAGAGGGCCCCAAGACGGCCCAAGAGGCAGCAAAGACGGCTCCAAGAGTGGGCCAGGGGGGCCCGAACTGACATTTTGAGCTCTCGGCTCAGAGTGGCCCCCAGGAGGCTCCCAGGAGGCCCCCAGGAGGCCCCAAGAGGCCCCAAGAGGCCCCCGAATGGCCACAAGAGGTCCACAAGACACCCCGAAGAGGCTCCCAAGAGGCACTAAAAGTGTCCCCAAGATTCCCCCGAGAACGCTCCGAAGAAACCCCAAGAAGCATTCATAAGAACTCTGACCCACAATCCAGGCACGGTGGCGGGATGGGCTTATCAAAGGGGTGCCTGGCGTGCCAGACGATGTGGCTTTTGGTTTTGCTCCTTTTCCAAAAGAACTCCCCCTGGGGCTTCGGCCCGTCCCGCCGGCCACCCGGAAACTGCACAAGTCAATGCCTGTTCCGCCCCAAGATGGCCCAAGATGGTCCCAAGACGGCCAAGATGACCCAGGATGGCCTCCAAGATGCCTCCAAGACAGCCAGGATGGCCTCCAAGACGGCTAAGATGGCCCCAAGATGCATCCAAGACGGCCCAAGATGGCCCCAAGATGGTCTAAGACAGCCCAAAAGGCCCGCAAAAGGCCTCCAAGACGGCCCAAGATGCTTCCAAGAGGTCCTCCAGGAAAGCCGGAAGAGGCCAAAATCATTGATTGTCCTAAGGTTTCTGACGGATTTTGACATTTGCTTCTTTTCGGCTTTCTGACGGCCCGAGACGGCCCAAAGAGGCCCCCAAGAGGCCTCCAAAAACCCTCCAAGAGGCCCCCAGGAAGCTCACAGGAGGCCCCAAGAGTGCCCCCAGAGGCGCCCAAGAGGCCTCCTCCTCCTCCTCCTCCTCCTCCTCCTCCTCCTCCTCCTTTGTCCTCATCCTCCCCCTCCTCCTCTTCTTGCTCACCAACGCGTTCCCCGAAGTCTTTCCAAACCGACTCGGGGAACAACTGGCCCGATAGCTTGGCCAAGCTCTGGCTCGGCTGTCGGCCACAGAGGCGCTTCCAAAGAGGCAAGGGGCGGCGGTGATTCGCCGTAGGCGTCTTCGATCACTACGTTGAGCACCAAGAACACCATAAAATCCGCAACGGTGCCCCCCTGGCACGCTGAGGCGTTACAGAATGCCAGGTGCTGTCTAGGATGGTTTCTGCAGGTCTTCGTAAGTCCCGCCCCCTTCCTACGCCACGAGAATACATACACCGACACACTCCGACGAATTTTGCATGTACCTTCAAGGAGGGCGGCGGTGTATGAAGTCGCTGGCTCCAAGTGGAGATTTATACACCGCCACCCTCCCCTGAGGCCCAGGAACCATCCATTGGAGGGTGTCTGTGTGTATTCACCCATTCCAAAAGATGGGGTTTGTGTTATTACTCCGACCGCTCCGAGGCGGAACACTACGCCCACTCGCCTCCCTCCTCCTCCTCCTCATCCTCCTCCTTTCTCCACGCCCAGAGTCACAATCAGGTGGTATGTTTTGTTATGTAATGGTATGCTATGTATGGTCTGGTTTCGCATGGTGTGTTATGTTATGATATGATGTGATATGTATGTAACGCTGCGATAGGATATGCTATGTTATGATATGTGATGCTGTAAAATTACATGATGCGGTTTCTTATGAAATATTGCGTTAGGCTGTGCCGTGTGCTGTTATGATGATGGTGATGGTGGTGGTGATGATGATGCTGATGCTGATGCTGATGCTGATGATGATAATGATGGTGGTGATGACGATGATGATGATGATGATGATGACGACGACGACGACGACGACGACGATGATGATGATGATGATGATGATGATGATGATGATTATGATGATGACGATGATGCTGATGATACTGGCGGAGCAGAATCTGAGGATGTCTCGAGCGAGGCGCGGGTTTCAGCAGACCCAAGGGGGAGCCGCCAGGGGGTATTGCACTCCCCCGTTCGCGCCAAAATGGCGGGGATGTCTCGAGCGGTTTGCCAGTTTGTGGCCTCAACATCCTCCGCGTTCGGAGCAGAGTTTGAGGACGTCTCGAGAGAGGCGCTGGTTTTCGCACCCCAGGGGGGTCAGATCTTGCGGATGTGCAGCGCCAGGAGAGCACATTAGGTCTCAGGATGCGCCCGGAGGCCACAGGAGGCCACAGGAGGGCTGAAGGAGGCCCCAGGAGGCAACAGAGGCCCCAGGAGGCCCCAAGAGGCTCCAGCAGGCCCCAGGAGGCCACAGGAAGCGCCAGGAGGCACCATGAGGCCCCAGAAGCCCCTAGGAGCTCCCACGAGGCCCCAGGAGCAGGAGGCCTCAGACGGCCACAGGAGTGGCTCCAATCCCCAATGTTTTTCGTATGTTCCTACGGATGGGGCCTCCCCCGGAACACGAATCCTTAGTGTTTGACGTATATATATGTTTCTATCGATTGTTCTTCTCCTGTGTATCCACTCCTGAATGTTTGACGTATGTTCCTCTAGATTGGGCCTCCCCTGGGGCATGAGTCCTTGGTGTCTTACGCAGGTTCCTGTAAATTGCCCCTCTCCTGTGGCTCCAATCCGACGTGTTTTACGCATGTTCCTATAAATTGGGCCTTTCCTGGGGCACGAATCCCCCCCAGGAAGGCCCAGGAGACTCCAAGATGCCACACGAGGCCCCAGGAGGCCTCAGGAGGACACAGGAAGCCCCAAGAGGCCACAGGAGGCTTCAAGAGGTTCCAGAAGGCCCCAGGACGCCCCAAGAGGTTTCAAGAGGCCCCAGAAGACCCCAGGCTCATGCGCAGAGAAGCATTAATACTACTGAGACTCATTCACACTCCGACCCATTCACAGTTAGATTCGCTCCCCGACTGTCAGTACTCAAGCCCGCTTAGATTCGAAAACTCTTGCGCCTAGACACGCACGGCGGACAGGTCCATGCTAATAGACGCACATCTGGGGAGCTCCACGCAATGAATAAGTATTACCGGCCGCGCCGACTCATCACCTCCACCTCCTCCCTCCTCCTCCTCCTCATGTTCAGTTATGGCATGTCATGGCATGCGATGCCATGGTATGGTGCTTGTTATGCTATGTTTTGTTATGTGATGTCATGGTATGGTATGGTATGGTATGGTATGGTATGGTATGTCATGGTGTGGCATGCTATGGTATGCTATGTCATGCTGTGTCGTGCCATGATATGCTGTGCTCTGTGTGCATGGACCCCCCCCTGCCGAGGCTTCCTGGGCCTGGGCGCCCCGCCGCCCCAGCACGGCTTCCAGGGGGACGGCCCCGGGCAGGCCACCGAGGCCGCCAGAAAACTCTGCGGCGAGCGCGGCCACCGGCAGGCCGCCAAGGACGGGCCAACAAATACCCAAAAGTACAAACAAAGGCATCATAGAAACATCGTTCCCAGACCATGTTTGTACTATGCTTGAACACTCCCCCTGCACAGGGACGTGCCCGACTGAAGGGAAGTGGGAAGGAGAAGGCCTTCACGGAAGGCGGCGGGACTTCTCAGAACCCCCTCGCGCCTTCCGAGAGGTTCTTGTCTGCGTCTTCGGGAAAGGCTCAGAAAAACGTCTCAGAGGCCAGGGGACTTCCGATCGGCTACACGCAGGAGTGACCCTGGGCAGGAGTGACCGTGACCTTTGGTGCGCGGCTTTTTGGGGGACCGCGGGGGGACCAAAAACGAGCGCGCGAGACGCCACTGCCGCATCGCGCTCGGCGACCGGGGTGCCCCATTGGGCCCGCACCAAAGGTCACCCCGGCGAAAGGTCACTCTTACGTGTAGTCGATTCTGAGCGCTCTGACAAGGCCCGCCCCGTCTCACTTCCCCCCCGGGGCTCGCCGCCGAATGGCTTCCAAGACGGCCCCGGCAGGCCACCCAGGCCGCCAAAGATGGCCCGAGATGCCTCCGAGACGGCGCGTGGATGACCCAAGTACAGCCCGAGCTGGCCTCGAGACGGCACACGAAGACCTCCAGTGCGGCCCGGGCTCCAAGAGGACCTCCGGGAGGACCTGGACATGCCCCAAACCGGCACCTCCCTGCTGTGTTGGCTGCTTCTCGCGTTCTCGCCTCTCCGGGCCGGCCTCCGCCACCCCCGCAGTTAGGGAGCCCACAAAGGACGTACGCGACCAGCTATGTACATGAACACGGCCCCTTGACCCGCGAGACCTGCCGCGCGATACGAACATTCGCGCAATGCGAACTCTCGAAACCAGCGTGGATTCATGTACACGTACGTCCTTCTTTCGCTCCTGAGCAGTGGCCACGGAGGCCTCCACGATGGCCCCCGAGACGGGCCAGGAGGCCCCCACGACGGCCCAGGAGGCCTCCGGGACGCCACCGCGGGGCCCCGCGAGGGCCAGGGCGGCCGGGAGAGGCCCCCGCGACGCTGCCCCCACGGGCGCTCAGCTCAACTGCCCCGGAGCGCCCCGAGACGACCCAGAGGATCTCCCCGGAGGCCCTCGAGAGGCCGCCGCGAGGCGCCCCAGAGGCACCCAGAAGGCTCCCAAAGGGCCGCGACCAGAGGCTGGAAGAAGACGAAGAAGAAGAAGCATAATCATAACAATAACCATCATAATAATAAGAATAATAATGATAATAATATGAATCGTAATAATAATGATGATGATGATGATGATGATGATGATGATGATGATGATGATGATGATGATGATGATGATGATGATGATGATGCTGATGCTGATGATGATGATTATTATTATACTAATACTAATAATAATAAGAAGAAGCATAATAAGAAAAATCAGAAGGCCAAGGGAGGACGAGCACGTTTCGAGGGACACGACGAGGACAAGCGCGTCGCATTCGAGAGACACGACGAGGAGTCGCACAATCTGCGGCTGCGGGTGGGCCCCTCGGGCAGTCGCCACCCGGAGTGGTGGGCTGGCACGGCTGCGGAACTTGCCGCAGGCAGCTGGATATATGTAGAACAGGAACATGATGCCATACAAAATACCAATCTTCACCAGTGATTGGTACACTTCCCCCCAATCCCGGCCGCCTGTGATGCTCTCGAAGAGGGTCACGATGGCTCGTTCAATGCTGCCCCAACTCGTCATCATGTAATCGAAGTGTTCCTGCGAAGTGCTCCAAAACTGCTTCTCATCAAGAGTGAGCGTGACTCCATCGTTGGGGTACGAATCGAAGTACGAGATTGTGCCGTGCATGAAAATCATGGCGAACACGTACTTGAAGAAGAGAAGCACGGCCAGGACCCAGAACAAGACGTCCAGAGACCTGAAGATCGCGAAGATCATGACCCGCAAGCTCTGGACCATTCGGACGATCCTGGCGATTCGAGAAAGCCCTCCTCGTCCTCTTCCTCCACGTCCTCCTCCTCCTCATCGGGTCAAACATCGACACCAGGACCTGTGCAGGGGCGCATTCCGACCAGCACTCCGAGGGGAATCCGGCCGTGGCCACGGGGGCGCCCCAGGAGGCCCCCAGAGCGCCAGGGAACCTGGGCGCCCGAGCCTGGATCCGCGGCCCTCCCCCGCCACCTCACCCCGAGGATCCTGACGATCCGGAGCACCCGCGTAATGCGAAACAGCTTGATCGTCCGGCTGAGCGTCAGGTTCAAGGTGTCTCCGCCGTACAGCTCGTCCATCAGCAGCTGCAGGAGGGCCGCCAGGACCGGATGAGGAGGAGCAGCAGCAGCAGCAGCAGCAGGAGCAGGACCACCAGCGCTCTGCTCCTCCTCCTCCTCCTCCTCCTCCTCCTCCTCCTCCTCCGTCTCCTCCTCCTCCTACTCCTTCTGCCCCCTCCTTCTCCTCCTCCTCCTCCTCCTCCTCCTCCTCCTCCTCCTCCTCCTCCTCCTCCTCCCCCTCCTCCTACTGCCTCCTGCCTCCTGCCTCCTCCTC